AAAAAACCTCCAAAAACATTGTGGAGATTTCCATTTTCCAAATGGAAGCTAAACAGGGCCATTTGTGGGCTGTCTTGGATCTGTCACTCAAGTTTTGACTGACAGGTTGCTTGAGGACATCAAAAAAGCTGATTCCCTTTAAGAGTGAAGAAGTTTTAACTTAATGGCCAGAAATCTGCAGCTTTCCTTTAATAGTATCAAGAATATGAGGCTGATCTAAGGACACCGAGAATTCTATTGAATCCACAGACTTCTTAATAGAAGAGACAGAAAGAACTTTAGGGTTTGAAATGTGAATGGACAAGAAAAGCAAATCAGCAAATTAATCCACCCAAGCAGAAAGTTTTGAATGCACATTCCTGAAATATCTGAATTTGAATCCCTGTGTATTCAATGATGCTGAGACACACGTTCATGTAGAGATGAATTGGAACAGCCACTTTTTTTCTGGCAGGATCACTTCTTCAGCATCTTCAAGATAGGAAACTACAATATGGCCCCCTTTTGCTGAGAAATAGCTGTACCAACCAAACCTGGTTGCTGCAGATGGGTAGGTATTCTGTTTAGTCTCGATAAGAACTTGCCAACTATCACAAACAGGCTAAAAGTGAATGGAAAAAAGTGACATTGATAGTTTAAGCCATCTGATCAGAACTACTGTAAGAGGATCATAATTTGAATCTAGAATAAGGTAGAGATGAGGATTTGTGAGCTGGTAAAGGGTGAAAGGCTTTGTGTTGAACTGTCCCCCTTTAAAAATAACATTTGAGATTATTGTCTTATTGTCTGCTTTTGGCCTTTTTGTTGCTTCCACTATCCTTTCCTTAAATATTTCTATATAGAAGCAATATCAATATCAAGATCAGAGAGGCTGCTATAATTTGTCAAAACACTGGCAACTTGCAGAGCTCCCATTACACAGCAACACTACAAAACTGTTGACAAACCAGAGTGTTTAGGTGTGAGAAAGTAAATCTTGAAGATTTTGTTCCTACAGCTTTCCATTCCTTAAAGACTTCTAAAAACCTACATTTACTACGAAGGAAGGAAGTGAGAGAGAATAGGAGGAAAACTAAACATGAAAAGTGTTTGCTTTGGATTTTGAAACCCCTTTCCTCTAATTGTGCATATTTTAATGACCATTTTATCATGAAGTGCACCAATTTGAACAATGCAGTACATATTTGATCTAGCATGAGAGAAATTAAAAACAGCACGCTTGACACAATTCCTTGAATAAACTGGATAAACCCCAATGCAGATTCTACAAGAACAGCAAAGGCAAGAATAACTGGGAACAGGGAGAGGCATTTTGGGTGAGAAGATCTCTCCCTCTCCCAAAGTTCCATTGTCATTGGTGCTCTGGAAGAAACCTTTTGTAATTTTAAGACTTATTCATTAATGGCAAAGACCTGATAAAATCAAAGGGTTTCAAGTCTGCTGTCACCAATTTGACCTGTTGATTTGAATGGGTTTTCAAAATATGACTAAGCTTAGTTTCAACCCAACACATTTTTGTAGTTGCCCTGATTTTTTGGCTTTATTCTTAATTATAGTTGGCCCTCCACATTTGCAAGTTTGACTAATACATTCTCTGTATGAACCTCTAGGTCAGGGGTCCTCAAACTAAGGCCTGGGGGTCAGATATGGCCCTCCAAGGTCATTTACCCAGCCCTGGCTCAGGGTCAACCTAAGTCTGAAAGGACTTGAAAGAACACAATAGCAACAGCAACAATCCTATCTCATCAGGACCACACTTCCCATTGAAATACTAAGTTTATATTTGTTATTTTTTTCATTTTAATTATTGTATTGTTTTAAGTGGGTTTTTTGCACTACAAATATGTGCAGTGTGCATTCATTCATTTTTTTTTTCAAATTATGCTCCAGCCCTCCAACAGTTTGAGGGACTGTGACCTGGCCCTCTGTTTAAAAAAATTGAGGACCCCTGCTCTAGGTCCTCCAGCTCAACAATGCAGTCAACTGGAAGTCATTCACAGAGTTGCAATGAAGGAGGTTGATGGTGTCACAAGAAATATGATGTGCAGATTTGATATGATATGTGTGTATTTGAAATGAATTAAATGTAAGAACTGAATGAGTGAGAGTTAATAGTTTTGGAGACAGTATTCTAAAAGATTAAAGCCTGCAATGACTAACTACCTGCTTAAGGAACTGTAATTAAAACCTGCTAAAGAGCACTGAAAAAGTAAAGTATGATAACAACTGTGACAATGATAAGAGAAATGTTTACAATGTTAAGAAGGAAGTCGACACAAGGCTAATACCAATCAAGAAGAAACAACATCTGGCCAGGAAACTGAGATGGAGTCAACATGTTCCAGGATGAAAGATGTCTATCATTAATTTACAACTCTGGGATAACATCAACAGAATATTCCTATAAAAGACTCAATCTAATAATTTTCAAGTGTGGCAGACCAGAGGAGTCTTGTCCACCCACTATGCTCTATGGAAAGAGATAATGCATGCCTCCTTTTCTCAAGGAAAGAAGAAGGGGTGTGATTTTGGAGTCTTAGATTTTGTGCAGGGAGTCAGTTTCTGCTGTATGGGAAAAAGGGAGGTGGTCCTTGGCATTGTTCTTAGGAAAAGAACTTTTGGCATTTTGGCATTATAGAAGTTATAGAATCTGTATGTCCAATGTAGTTCTTTGTCTAAATGTTGTTCTGTAAAAGTGCTGATATACCCTCTCACAGAGAAAATTGCAGTAAATAGAACCTGGTTTACAAAGTATTCATGACAATATTCATGACAAGTATTCATATTCATGACACTAGGGGACCTAGGTGCTGTAGCACACCTTTATACTCAATTTCTGGCACACCATAAGAATCTAGAAAATACTTTGGGATAACATATTTTGTTAGATGCAGGTAAAAGAAACTATGGGGACCAGCACTGTAGTCATGGGGATCATACTGTATTAATTAATTAACTAGCTGTGATGTTAATTTGTTAAACATTTATGTTATATTTGTAGGGGTTCTTTTGTTTACTGATCTTTTATGGTACATTTGGAACAATCTTGAATTACTTTATTTTATAGCTATATCTTGATGTCACTGAAAAGGAGAGAGGTTCTTTCATTCCAAGGGCTGAACTCACTACCTGAAAAGTTCTTGAGTTCCATAGTCCAATGATGGTTGGGGTATAATGGACACTGATGAGATTTACAGTTTGCAAGAAGGGATGGCATACTCTGTGTAATAATCCACACTATGCCTAAAAACCCCATGATTGAATCTACTTGTGAAAAGTCTTTAACTGCCTTGCATCATGAAGAAGATTAGAGTTAACATTATTCTCTTAGGCTATAAAGACCTTAGGTCATAAAGAATCAGCTTTCAATACAGGCAGTCCCTGAGTTACAAACATCTGACTTACAAATGACTCATATTTAAGAAAGGGGTGAGACAATAGGAAGTGTAATAAATCTTCCCCTAGCATCCCTGGAAGAGTTATCATGGGGAAAAGGTGTCTCTGCTGAAGTTTTATCACCAATCCTTGTTTCCACTACAAGTTAAATTTTTCAAAATCCAAATCTCACAGAGACAGAAAGTGAGGTGAAATCTTCTGAACAGACAGCAAAATAAACACCACAGCAGTTTTAACTCTTTCCTATGCTATCCAAAACCTATAGATATAGATACACACACATAGTTGGAGTTACACTTTAAAATGTATCTGTTTCAGCTTACATACAAATCCAACTTAAGAACAAATTGACAGAAACTATCACGTTTGTAATTTGGGGACTGCCTGTACTCAATACAGAGTATAACAACAGCTATATGATGATAGTTTTATTTATTTATACTTGATTTTTTTCTCTATTAATTGAGACCCAAAGTGGATACTGCCAACCTATACAGATGGTGGCCAAAGCACAGAGGCAATTGTTCTACCATTAGCTCTGTGTGTGTATGACCCACAAGTGACATTACAGTCTATGGTGGGAGCATGGTATAGCAACCACTTAGAGATGTTGCCAAGTGGGATTTCATCAACCTGCCAAAAATTTGAAAAATGCCATAAACCATGGCTAGAGGCTTGTCTGTTGCTATAAGGCTTCCTAGAAACCGAAAGAATTCTACATTTCTCACTCTCTCTTCCTTTTGTTTTTGTATCATCTTCCCCCTCTCTCTGAGTAGAGATGAGCTGGAAGTTAAACACTGTGTGCACATTTCTTTAGTTGAATCCTGGTGGGAAGGGGGGAACCAAAAGCAATAGGATAGGGGGGAAACTCTATATACTTTATCTAATAACTCTTATTGACAATAATTAGGTATTTAGAGAGGCATACCAACCTAAAATAAGTGTACAGAAACTGGGAAACAAACAGTATCTAGTTCAATACTTCCAGAGTTGGAAACTCTTCCTGAGAACTGTGTTTCATTTCTGAACAGCTTTGCCCATTAGTTTCTCCTAATGTTTAGCTAAAAGCTGTGACCTTAGTTAGCTATTTCCATTCATTTATTCTAGTATGTTCTATTTATCATTTCCACTCTGCCCCCTTGTGTTCCCCCAAAGGTCAATCCTGATGGTCCAAGGATTTTCTAGAAAAGTGGGTGAGTGAAATCTCTTAGTGTGGTCTCAACAGATGATTCCCTTGTCCTACTACAATCCCCCGTATATCGTATCTTGGTGTTTCAAATAATTCTTATCCCTTAGGGAAAACTATAGAATAATTTTGCCCTTTCACAGTAGTAAATTTGGATTACTATTAGCTTCTTTTGTAGGTTACTGATGCATGCAGCCTCATCACCAAGGTGTGTTTTGCATTGCAAAATAAAGACTTAGTAACCAAATAAGAAGTCATTATTTGATTACATTTCCAAAACAAGTAGCTACATCACTGCTTTTTTTAAAAAAAAGTAACTCTGTAACACTAACTAACCATGCTCTCCATATGCAACTGTAACGATCTGCAATTGTTTTCAAAAGTGACTTTACACCATCTAAGAAGCTCATTCACTTACCTGTCCTAGATCTAAAGTAACATTGACTTCATCATACTTCAAACCTAAGGAGAGAGATGGACTTTGCCACCAGCGCTCTGTCCCATCTATAGCATTGGTTACTGGGTGAGCTTTCTTTGGATCAGCAGCATTGCAATAGTCACAGAACTGGCCCTGAAAGAGAAGAAAACAGAAGTCTGAGACAATTTGAACATGACCATGAAAAGGATGTTTTAAATTGCTACTGAAAGATCAAAGGAGCAGTTCAGTGCTGTTTTTTCTGTGATGCTCCAAGAAGCAAGGAGAACTGTTGAAGAATAAAGATAACACTGAAGTTGCTTCCATTCTCCTGAACAAACACCTGTAAGCAAAATTATAAATTCTATCTCCATATTTTAATTCAGTGTTGCATTATCAAACGATGTTCTTCCCCATGTCCAAAATACTCCCATAGATGTGATGTCAAAGGCTTTCATGTCTGAAATCACTGGGTTGCTGTGAATTTTCCGGGCTGTATCGCCATGTTCCAGAAGTATTCTCTCCTGACATTTCACCCACATCTGTGGCAGACATCCTCAGAGGTTGTGAGGTCTGTTGGAAACTAGGCAAGTGGGGTTTATATATCTGTAAAATGACCAGAGCGGGAGAAAAAAACTCTTGTCTGCTTGAGGCAAGTGTCAATGTCGCAATTGGCTGCCTTGATTAGCATTATATAGCCTTGCAGTTTCAAAGCTTGGCTGCTTGCTGCCTTGGAATCCTTTGTTTGGAGGTGTTAGTTGGCCCTGATTGTTTCCTGTCTGGAATACCCATGCTTTCTGAGTATTGTTCTTTATTTACTGTCATGATTTTAGAGTTTTTTAATACTGGTAGCCAGGTTTTGTTCATTTTCATGGTTTCCTCCTTTCTGTTGAAATTGTCCACATGCTTGTGGATTCCAATGGCTTTGCTGTGTAGTCTGACATGGTAGTTGTAAGAGTGGTCAAGCATTTCTGTGTTTTCAAATCATACTCTGTGTTCATCAAGTGCTCTGCTATGGCTGACTTCTCTGGTTGAATCAGCCTGCAGTGCCTTTCATGTTCCTTGATTCGTGTTTGGGCAATGCTGTGTTTGGTGGTCCTTATGTAGACTTGTACACAGCTGCATGGTATATCATAGACTCTTGCAGAGGTGAAAGGATCCCTCTTGTCCTTTGCTGAATGTAGAATTTGTTGAATTTTCTTAGTGGGTTTGTATATAGTTTTGTAAATAGTTTGTTCTATAACTACAAGCACAACCTACAAACTATCTACAGACTCACTAAGAAAATTCAACAAATGCTATGTTCAGCAAAGGGTAAGAGGAATCTTCTTACCATGGTTGAATCCTTACTCAAGTATGTAAATCCACTGGGTGACCTTGTGCAAGTTGCACTCTCTCAGGGGCAAACAACCAGCTCTGAACAAATCTTACCAAAAAAAAAAAAAAACCAAACCCATGATAGGTTTGCCTTAGTGTCACCATACATTGGAAGTTACTTGAAGCCACACAATAACAAGCCGATTTTATGTCTCATGGGGAGCTTTTTACAGATTTTGTCTCTTAATTGGCCCCTGTTCAACAAGAAGCAATGAACTAGGAAAAATGTAATAGGTGGAACAGTTGTCTCAAAAACTTACATATACCTCTTCGCCCTCCTATCTATACTTAGCAGGTTTCTGCTGCAGTTGTACTTTATTAGGTGGGTCAGTCATTATAACAAATCAAGGGCAGTTTTGCTCTCTATATTTATAACACTGTGATTCCACTTTAACTGCTATGGTTACACCGTGTGCAATCCTATGGTTTTTTGTTTGAGGATAAACAGCAGGTTAAGACTTCTCCATGGGTTGTTACCATGGCAGTTAAAACAGAATAATAGTACTAGAGCAAATCTTGTAAAAGATTTGAAAGAAACATGGAGTGACAATCCAGGAACAAAGGTTTGTGCTGTGGTTGTACTTTATTAGGTGCGTCAGACATTATAAGAAATCAAGGGCAATTTTGCTCTCTATATTTATAACGCTGTGATTCCACTTGCTGTGACTTTGTCTGGATTTTAAAAAATACTAGGGGTGGTTAGCAGAGAGAGAGAAAACTAGGCTTAGAATTTTTGGTGGAAAGTAGAGGAATAAATAGGGATGACATCTTGTCCTACCCTTACTTAGAATAATAGAATCACAAAGTTGGAAGAGACCTCATGGGCCATCCTGTCCAACCCCCTGCCAAGAAGCAGGAAAATCACATTCAAAGCACCCCCAACAGATGGCCATCCAGCCCCTTTTTAAAATGCCTCCAAAGAAGGAGCCTCCACCACACCTTAATCTCAAAGATTTGAGAGTAGAAGAGGTATTTCTACTTAACTAGGTCACTTGGAGTTCTGAGAACAATGTTTAATAATGTTTCTAACATACATCAAAGAATTCTTCTCAAATAACAAGCATTTCAGTTATTTAAAGTACATTCCACAAGAGCTGCCAACAAAGATGGCAGCTAAAAAAATAAGTTGTTGAATAAAACCTTTCCCTGTGCTTCTCATTGGCACAACCTGCTGAAGAACATTTCATGGTTGCCTGTCTAGTACAGTATTCATATCTCAGTTTCAGGAGATTGGGAACAAAGTCTAGATTTCATCTAGAATTCAGCATAGTGTATTTTTTTACCTCAATATCCTTATGCCTTGAATAATATACAGCAAGTTTCTATTAAAAATAGGGCAACATATAGTCTCTGTATAAAACTCCCTTGTAAGGCATATACTATAGTTACTCAAATGTAATGTTCACCTTTTTTTGGCTAAATTGTTTAGCCAAAAGGGAGATGCACATTATACTCTTTGGTGATGGAAAAGCACTCCTCCCTCCCTTCCCAGTCCGAGCTTCTCCTTCCCCCAGATGAGAGAAGAAGGAAAAGCTTCCCTCCCTTCCCTGCCCATCATCTCTCACTAGAGTTATCTTCTCCCATGTGTGCTTCCCAATTGCATGAATGTCTAATAAAATCTAAGACTCACTGAGTTCAGTGGAGTTTATTGACCCCAATGGCACAGTGGGTTAAACGCTTGTGCCGGCAGGACTGCTGAGCAATAGATCAGCAGTTCAAATCCAGGGATAGCAGGTTGAGCTCCCTCTGTCATTTCCAGCTTCCCATTTGTGGACATGAGAGAAGTTTCTCACAAGGATGATAAAACATCAAACATCCAGGCGTCCCCTGGGCAACATCCTTGTAGACGGCCAATTCTATCACACTAGAAGCGACTTGTAGTTTCTCATGCTGCTCCTGACATGAACAAAATCTTCAAAACAATATGTATATAATTTTATCCCAATCCTGAAAGAGTAAACTTAAATGCCTGTACATCACCTCCCTGTACCTCAAAATACAGGCAATTGACAAGCAAAATTGGCCTAGGACTTTATTGCATCAGACTTCAAAACAGGAGTGCAGCATTATATTAGTATGTTTTTGACCAGTACTTATTGAACAACATTGCATTCGACCTATTGCTGCTTTGCATTTTGTCATTGTAGTGCACCTTTTCGTGGATGGATGAAACCCTCAATGACTCTTACATTGCTGCCTTTTTGTGACTGTCTTCTATGTGATAAGTCCTTTCTGCTGCACTTGTAAGGCATGGTTTCCCCCCTCTCTTCTTCTCCCCACATTCCCCTTGCTACTTTTCCCCTTTTTCTTTTTATTGTTCTTTATACTGTGATAATTGAATAATTTCAGTTAAAAAAACCCCAAAATGATATATGAGAAGGTATAGGGCAGGAAGGAAAGGTTACAGATGCAAAGCAGTTAATTGCCAACGCAGCACCATAGCGCTACTGCAGAGAGGTGCAGTTTCTGTTCCTTTAACTAAGGCAATTGCAATGAGACTGCAGGCTGGTGAGAAAATGTCCTTAATCTTTTTATATTTTCCTACTTTTTATGTCTAAACACTAAGCAGATATAACAGTAGAAACTGTTTGCAGGCTGGATGGGAAATGCATGGAAGCCACATGTCAGAGGTCCCCATGCAATTATGCTATCACTGGTTAGGGCAGAGTGGTAGGAGTCATACAAATAACATCACAAGTATATGCCTTTATCCTTTTTTGGAAGTGACCATTATACTAAACTCTGGAAAAAAATCTGGGAATTCTGAGAATCTCAAGCAATTTATTTTCCAGATTGACTGAAGACTGTGAGCCTTTCCAGATGTCTCTGTATATTAAAGATTTGAATTAAACATTCATTTCTTAAAAGTGAAATTAAATTTACATTTCTGAAATGTCTACAACACATTTCAAATGGACATGATTTCAAAACATCACCTTAGGAAATTTCATATTGCTGATATTGTCTTACCAATATCAGCCTTAGAAATATCTGAAAGATGTGCATTGCCCCTTCTGTCCTGCTATAGTAAGCATGTTAATACACAAAGTTATATATTAATGCTATTGAATGCCCAGTCTTGATTTTTCTATACAATTGTAATTGGAAAAAATTAACTCTTAAGTTGTAACTTCAAATTAATTTGAACCTAAGAGTAAGCAAAGAACAATGTGATAACATGAGCACTGTGCTGTTGTCACATTTCCTAGGGGTGGTTTCTCCTGCCCTTTGAAATAATTTGGCACCTCTTTTGAACCAAAAATGATGCCTTGGTATTCCTGCTATGTGTCTCAATGAGGCTTTGTTAGAAAATGGAGAGAGGGACACTGCTGTTGAATACATATTTACACAAATACTGTGAGCAACCCAGCATAGTTCTTTGTGCCAGGGCAAATCTATCAGTAATCTTTCCAGGAACGTGGATCAGACATACATCACAGTTGACCTTTTGCCCAGAATCTCTAAAGTAAACATTAAATATAATGAATTTTCCCATTCCCTGTTATTCTCACACAGATTAAAGCATACACTAAGCTCATAATTAAAGCACAATTCTTACATTTCAAAAATGGACAAAAGAAGCAGCACCACAGCAACAATACTTCTGGGTTAATTCACAGGCTGTTTTCATGTACGAGGACTTCCATCTAAACCAGGTATGGGCAAACCCAGGCCCAGAGACTGGATGCAGCTCTTTGGGCTCTTTTCTCAGTCCCTCCGCTCTCTCTACATCCTATCCTTCCTTCTCTCTTTCCTTCCTCCTTTCCTTCCTCTTTCTC